TATGCAGGGGAGTATTATAAGGCGTATTAAGGGGGATACTCGGAGTTTGAAATATAGGTCAAGTAGCAGATAGCGTCTTAAACGTATGTCACGATTGTTGCGCACGAGGAACCGCAGAAACAGCTAAGATTTGGTGGGATTCCAGGGCGCATGGAGACCCTAGCAGAAGCTGTCCACTTTCAGCACGCTCACAGTGATTAAGTGGAGTTGTTTTTGTGCGGCTGAACATGCTTTTCATGGCGCGATGCCTAGCCCTAGTTCTTTATGTGAGTGCCGACACCTTAGACGTTGGATTCTACAGCTTTCAGGGTTTTCCTTGTGCTAGTTTCCAAAGGCAGTTCTTTCTCTTCGATCCTTAAGTATTGTGCGGTCCTGATTAGTGCGGTAGCCCCCCCCAAAACAAGAATGGGTCCCTATTCGATATTGAAACAGAAACTCCCCAGTGCAGATTTGGGTCGTGCTTTTGAAATCAAAAGCCAGTTGGACCAGGGTTTCAGGGATCGGTAGTTCAGGAAAAAAGTTCCAAGCTGATATTTACAGGTCCGCCGCCAAAAAAAAGTTGTGAGCCGAGAAACATTGCACAAATCAGCACCCACAAACCCTAAACCTTAAACCCTAAATCCTAGACCCTAAACCAACCAACTCGGAGTTACCGAGTACTTTGGCCAAGCTTCGCACAATTCAAACCCCCCCCCAGACTAATCCGGATTAGTTGATATCCGAGACTCGCAACATGCCTAGACTCCACGTGAGCTATCGTCTAAGCCCCAGGGTTTATACAGGGATTTAAATAGGGTTTAGGGTTTAGGGAATTATATAGATGAGTGTGTGTGTGTGTGTGTTTTAGGGGGTTTTAAAGGTGATACTAGGAGTTTAGACTATACCTCATGTAATGTCCCAAATGCAGCCATGGGCAATTTGAACCCACAGCCTCGCATCCCAAACTGCCCTGGCATACAGCCCTACACCTCTAAACCCCCAAATCGTGGGGTTGAGAAGGGGAGGGTTGTTAAAACAAACTAAACCCCTAAACCCTAAAGCCGAGGAAGTGGTCGCTGACAGAGCTCCAAGAATTTCTGTCCTTGGTTTTAGGCCATCGGATTCTAGATTTGTTTCTGGTCTGTCTCGGGGAAGCAAGGTCTGGGGTTTAGGGGGTTGGGGTTTAGGGGGTTGCGGTTAAGGGGGTTGGGGTTTAGGGGTTTTAGGGTCTAGGCCTGTGGTTCAGGAGATGGAAAACTGGATTAAGGGACGTGGCGCTCAGGGTGTCGAGGAGGGGGGTTTGTGCTGCTCGTTTTGGCTAGGTTCTTGCCCAAAGCTCGCTCCTTAGAAAGCTAAGACAGTCTGCAGCTTCGTGTATAGGAGAAGCACACACCTCAAAATGAAATCCCTAGAGCTCACGATCCTGGACCTCGCCTTATCCCCATGATCATGCATACACTATGGCCCTGCGCGATCATCCCCTGCGAAGCAACAAGCCGCAGACGGTTCAGTTTCGCAAAGGCTGTATGGACAGCAAGGGCTAGGTATGTTCAAAGTGCTTGAAGCCTTCAATCCCAACATGGCTCAGGGCTTCAGATTTAGGATCTGAAGCCCGCACCTAGAAGCCCTGAACTCAACGTCCGACGCCCTACATCTTACACCCAAAATTCCCAAGTTCCAAACCCCTGACGCCCAGACGCCTGCAGTAGAGCTCCCTCAAATCGCCTTGGAAGTCCCTCAGACTGGGTGGTGGTTAAGGAACTCAAATTAAGTTACCATAATATGGGTGTACAGTAAGTACTAGGCTTTCCTTATCAGAGTAACTTAATCTAAGGTCCTGAATAAGCAACGCAGCAAAGGAATCATGACCTGCAGCAGATCTACAAAGCCACGCAGGATCGTCGCAGCGTGCCCAGCGACCTGAATCTCGGCCCTGACAGCTAGCGTACTTAAGGGGTTACAATATCACACCCCCAAACCCTAAACCCTAAACCTCAAGACCCTCGGGAGCCAATGAGGACCCTTTAGGGGATAATAAAGCCTAACAGGGTTCCAAATCTGGGAAGGGGGGTACCTTTGGGGGGAGGGTACTATCGTAACCCTTTGAATTATGATGAAATCCTCGCCGCGATATGCATGTTGTGACCCGGGGGGACTAGAGCAAAAATGAATAAGAGAGATGGTACAGGTATCAGGGTGCTACTTTCACTGTGTTTACTCTCGGTATGAGGCATACTCTGTCTAGAAAACCCAGGGGTCTGGCATGCTTTAAGGCCATTGATTTGAGAAAGTGCTGTTGTCCATAGCATAAGGCCATCAAGGTGTTGAAGTCTATGGTGCAGAGTTTGCAGCAAATCTCGTAGCCAACAGAAGGTCAGGAGCGTGGCAAGTGTATTCTTGCTGCGGGAGTGCTAAGTGTACATCGAAGCCAGTACGAGAATTTGGGTTATACAGCCATCTCGATTCTCTGAAAATCTCACGGCAGATGGCCAAGGAATGAGAAACGTATGCATTGGGCAACGTTGAATGAAATCGTTCAGAGACTTGGTCTGCCTAATGAGCCCTATAGCCCATGTAAGCTATAGTTGTGGGCTATAGTTTAAACTCCTTGAGAAGGCTATATAGCGGATTATAAAGGGAGCACTGTACAGTTTATTAGGGGGCTACTAGGTTTTTAGACAATACATCATATAGGAACCCTACTTATCCCAGATATTAACTTTCTTATCTACTAAGTCTCCCTGACCCTCCAAGTAATATACGTGTGGGGCTGTTTTAACATACAGCCTTTTCGTTCATAGGATCACAGTTTTTTTGGATCCACGACTACTTGCAGTTCGAGATTTGGTCGCAGTCTGCCCTGTTCTATCTAAGCTTCAGGGACCAGCATGGAGGAGCTAGATGTTTTCAGTGTTGTTCATACTTATAAACGCAGTGAAATCATAGTAATAGCAAGTAATAGAAATGCTATTATTAAGAAAAAGGGGACGTGCTCAAGCTCATGCCATGACAAAAGCTGTGCCTTCCAGTGGACTTGGAATCCCAGATGCGCTGATAAATGTAAGTTCACCTGTGGTTGATTCCCTGAAACCTGCATTACCTACACATACGAACATACAGGGCAAAGACTGGGTTGCTTTTAAGGAGCTTGAATTAAGTTACCATAATGGTAGACATGGTAATTAATATGGTTCCCAATACCGTAGCTTACTTGAAGTTCCTTAAATCCCTATATTCCCCCAGTGTCCATTTCATTTTCCATGTTGTTTTCCATTTGATTCTCCATTGTAGGGGGATAGTAACCCTAAGCCCTAAGCCTTATAGTAATTTAATTTAAGTTCTTTAACAGCAACCCAGATGAAGGTCTAGTGTTCCGTTCGTAGCCGTCTGGATGGCATCCTCCAGCCGCCGTTTTGTGGGTGTTTCCCAAGATTAGGGGTACCTTTAAGGGGGGCTTTAGAGCGGGTATATAGGGGATATATAAGGTTTAGGTGTAGGGTTTCCCAAGATTAGGGGTACCATTTTGGGGGCCCCAAAAAGGAGGACTGTAGTATTTGGGGTTTACATTGGGGTTCCCTTATTCTGGGAAACTATGTAGACAGTCAGGCCTAGGGTAGGAACGCAGTGCTGTCTTTCACTTGTCAGCTGACCCTAAACCCTAAACCCTAAACCTTAACCGCGCTTGCTTTTGAATTCATTTCCTAGGGCCCAAGGGCTCTGGACTCTGAATCGAAAAGGCCTAGAAGACCTATCTACCCTGATTATTATATTAGAGTAGTTTCCATTTTCTTTTCCATTATCCCCATATAACCCAATATGCTATAGTAGTTCCCACTTAGAGCCTAAAGTTGCAACTCCTGAAGCCGCAGCTCCATTGAACACACAGGATGAAGCCCTGCGTAACGCCCGAAGCCCAGAGCTGAAAAAGCTCAGGGCGGAAAATCGAAAGCCTTAGCCCCAAAAGCCATAGACCCTTGCTCCCCCTCCCTCCTCCTTTAAGGGCCTCCCAAAGTTTCAATATTTAGTGGAGTTCTGAGGCCGGGGTAGCCTCTCCTCCAAGAACTACCATGGCAGGGGCCGTATTTTGCAAGGGACTGCAGTCTGTACAGGGCACTCTTTCTATGTGTGTCGTTCCTAGAATCAAGGTCCCATTTTGCTACCCCTAAAATGTTAGGTGTCGGAATATAACCCATAATCAACAGGGGCCAAGAGTTTTGAGAACAACCCATCTGAGCTATAGTCTAAACTCCTAGCATCCGCTAAAAAGCCCTAGAATAGGAACACTATAAAGTCCCCTATATATCCCTTTATGTCTTTCCATATTGCTTTAGGCTATGAACCCTAAACGGTAAACTTTCCAATGCGGTCTGCTTAGGCGACGTTCCCACCTCTTCGCGCCTCAGAGGGACGCTCACTGCCGCGAGGCACTGCCCTTCGAACCCTTAAACCTTAAATTAGGGATACCTAGAAGGGGGTTTATGTAGGGTTTAAATAGCTAATTTACGGTTTAGGGTTCGGGGATCTAAGGCTTAGCTAACGGACGCTTAGTAGGAACAATGGAACAGATTAGTAGAGCTATATAGGGATCATATTCCCTTTCCCTACTACCCCTCCCAGTAAGTCTACGGCTACTTTGGGATTAGAGTTTAGGGTTTGCGGCTTGGGGTTGGGGGATGTAGGGTTTATTGCGTAGAGATGCAGCCTTGAGGAGCTGGTGTTTTGGGTCCCTTGGCCTTTCTCCTTGTATACATAGCCCTGGGACAATGGAAACTACTATATTGGGTTATATTGGGATAATAGGGTATATATTGGGGTTATGTAGGGATAATGGAAAACAAATGGGAATTGCGTGATCCTGCTGACTTCGCTTCCTACTCCGCATAATTGTTTTCAACATTCTTGAATGCTCTGTACAACTCCCATGTAACGCTTAAGTAGCCCACAAAAATCTTAACATAAACCCCATACGATATTTTGGTTGCTTCGCAACCTTTCTGCATCACCACGTCGTACAGCCCCAGGCAGTGATGTGGTGGGTGCACCACTTAGCCGAGGAGAAGAGGCAACAGCTCCGAAAGCAGAACGTCACGGTTCCACGGCCTGTCATCACAATTTTGACTCAGCTACAGTCTAAACTTCTTAAAGGGTGATTACTGGATCAATGTTAGGGATCCCTTTTACTTTTTGGGGTGTGGGGAAACTTATATTCATGTAAAAAGTATCCTATGCTCTTCCCAGTTCCAAACGACTTTCGAGCTGAGTTTCACCAGAAGTTCCCTCTCACATTTGAATTGCAACCACCAACCCAATAGTGCGGGGTGGTTGGTTCCGCACAGACCGAACCTTTTTTCTTCCTAGGCTAAGTGTACCCTTAATTAGCCTTAACAATCCATCCTGTTTCCAAAGCCTTTGACTTCCAAGGTTCCGTTGCTGCCAGAGAGTCCCAAGCTTCACTGTGGGTCAAACGCAGCGGACGGCGTCATGCTCGGTGCCAGCAGAGAATCTCAGCATAGGCTTTTTAGCTGGGCATCCTGCGAACGTCTTTATGGTGACGCCAACATCCCGCGATTGTTTGTTGTAGCCCTTTTGGTTAGGCACAGATACGAATGGCGATGCTGTTGTGGACGAGGAGGCCCATGTCTGCGCCAAGGTGAGCCATGCCCAAAGATGACGACACTATGTAGTAATTGTTCGTTTGGCTAGGTATACGCATATAGCACGTTTGAAGTAGACATGAAGCAGTTGCATAAGTTACAGCATGAAGAAAAGCAGCAACACTAGCAGTCGCTAGCAGCAGCAAGAGTTTGGTTATTCGACTGGTCATTATGGAAATAGCTTTCGTAGCGGTTGCCACAGGTATGTTGTGTTCTGGGATTTTTCTCATACAGCTTACCTGGTTCATGTGAACTATACTCTAAACTCCTTAAAGGGCTTTATGTAGGGGATGATATAGGGCACTATTACAGGGGCTATTAAGGGGGATACTAGGAGTTTAGACAATGGCTCATGTGAGGAGGTCTGGCTGTTGCTGAGGTGAATGAGGCCAACTCCTGCGACTGGTGCCACTCCACGCAAGCTGACCATGACAAGGTCCCAATGACATCCAGCAGAGATGGGTGGTTGTCAAAATTATGGCCCATTTTTGGATCGCTATTTTAGTACGGCACCTAATATTTAGGGTACCCAAAAAAGGACCATAATTTTGACAACCACCCAGATGTTGTCTGGTTTGTTATGTGCGGACTCCGGTGAGCTCAAGAAACACGAGGGAAAGTGTCAATATTACTTGATGTTTGCCTGTCTCAAAACTTTCTTTTAGATGCCATTAAAGCGTTGTTGGATGGCTTAGTTTCTGTGGAGTCGGGGTCTATTGCTTATAGGGGTGCAGCATGATGATGTTCTCCTAGTATCCCTGAATACAGTAAACTGTCTAGAATCCCTTAGATGCTTGCTCCTCCTCAGAAGAAGACCTGCAAAGCAACAAGAGGGCCTTCCGGGCACGACGCCCCCCGATGCGCTGAAGAAGTTCACTGGGCCGGACGATGGCAATCCTCAAGGCATCACGCTTGCGGGTTTACGATTCGGGGAATACATCGCGCTTAGCTTAGGGTTTAGGGATGTATAATGTGGATCACGGCCTCTAGTGCCAAGGATTTGTTGGGGCTTATTGGTTGCGGTTTAGGACTTCCCGCTCATCTTTCATTCAATATTGGGAGTGTCTCAGAAACGGCATTCCCGTGTTGTTTCCGTTCTTCCGAAGAGAGTATAGAAGAGTTCCCATACTCATACTACTCTGGGTTGCTGTTAAGGAACTTAAATTAAGTTACTACATTGGGGAAACCCTATTATTTACTATATATATACCCATTATGGTAACTTAATTTCAAGTTCCTTAACAGCAACCCAGTATTCCGCAATGCATGAACTCATGGGACTTGGCCTGGAGTCTGCAATTATTGGGCAACCTGACAAATCAACACCCACATAAACCTCACACCTTAACAATCTGTTTGGAATAGGGTTTAGGGGTAGGGGTTATATAGGGATTGTATAACATATGTATTGGTGATATATTGGGATAATGGAAAAGAAAATGGAAACGACTATAGTATATTTAGACACCTAACTGACCCGAATCACTTTGAAGCCTCCGGCCCCTCAAACAGCTCTGGGCCTGCAAACCTTCTTGCTAAAATGAGCCATAGTCTAAACTCCTTAAAGGGGGGTTATATAAGGGTTTGTATAACGGACTACTATAGGGGTTATTAATGGGGATACTAGGAGTTTAGACTATGGCTCAAATGAGAAGTTTCACGTTACTAGGCTGGAACAGGACGCGGCGATGCGATCAGGACTTCTGCTAGAGAGTTGTCAGGAGTTTGGGTTTTAGGGCAAGGTCTTGTGTTGTTTTGCTTTAGAAACCCTAAACCCCAAACCCTAAACCCTAAACCCTAAACCCAAATCTAAACTTAGAAAGTTCAAGGCCTCAGGGGCCCAAGGGAAGCATTCCCAAGCCGGATGCGAAAAGGCCAGAGCTTTGAAGCCTCAACCTTGGGTACTGCCCCCTCCAGTAACAGTCTATATTAGGGGTCCTATTAAGGGCTATATATAACCATATTACAAATATTCTCCAACTGTTACTGAGTGGGGGCAGTACCCAAGCTCAACCCAAAGCAGCGATGGTTCAGACATTTCTGTGCCCTACCCACTTCCATCATCACAGAACTACGTCGACGAACACAAGGCATAGTTGCATGTTAACAGAAAGCCGTACGCCCAAAGTTCCCTAGCTTGGTTGCTAGGGTTTAGGGTTTAGGGTTAAGTTACTGTAGTTATAACGAGACTTTGTTATGCATGATATACCCATATTATTCTAACTTAAGCTCCTTAACAGCAACCCAGTAAGCCCCCCAGCCCTGAAGCAACAAAGTCATTGGGATCTGTCATTGCTTGAGCCCTTAATATACGGAGATCCGAAAAAATGAAATGGTAATTTCCCCAAACAAGGGAACCCCAACATAGGCCCCAAAATATTATGATCCTTGCTATGGGGACCCCCAAAAAGGTACCCCTAATTTTGGGAAGCCCCCAAATAAACTGGTGACCGCAGGCCATGATCCCTAAGCCTCTGGAAGGATGCGCGGAGCACGAATTTGGGGTTTAGGGTTTGGGGGTAAATTTCAAGGGCTTGAACCCTAACAGCCCTTGATCCCGAAACGCTGAATATGAAACTCCAATAGCATGAAGGCTACACCACACCCGAACCGCGCAACTCGGGGCATAAACTCCAATTTCTGCCTCATAAGCTCTTAAACCAAACTCCCAAACCATAAGGGTTGTTCTCAAAATTATGGGCGCCTTTTTTGTTATAGATTATATTTCGGCACCTGACTAAGAGCCCAAAAGCCTTAGAAGTAGCTCTCAGTGCCATTATTCAACATAGTTTGGGGTTCAGGTAAAGTCCTAAGCCCTAAACCCCAAACCCTAAACTCGAAAACCTTTAAACCCTAAACCCCAGAATTCTAACCCCCTAAACCCTAAACCCTGAAACTCTGGACCTTAAAAGATAGTGCAGAGGACCAGATACCTCGATGCCAGCTCTGTGAGGCCGCGAGCCGCGCAAAAAAGTGTCTGAGGATCCTAAAGTATAGGGTGTAGGGTATAGGGTAGCTATATGGGGGTTTCCCAAAATTGCGGGGACCTTTTTCGGGGCTTTAGAGGGGGTATATAGGGGATATATAGGGTTTAGGGTATAGGGTTTAGGGGTTTAGGGTTTGTATAGGGTTCAGGGTTTAGGGTATAGGGGTTTAGGGGTTTATTACCCTTACTGAGGGTTTTTGGGGGGGTCATTTTGAGCTTACTCTTTCGAACTTTTGAACTTCAAGATTATGGAAAGTAAGGTACCCTTAGTAATGATAAGTTTGTATGGGATTAAGGGTTTAGGGTATAGGGTTTAGGGTATACGGTTTAGGGTTTAGGGACTGTATAGTGTTAGGCTCTTAGGATTAGAGGGCTTGGAGTTTAGGGCATAGGTTCTTAGGATTGCAGGAAGCTTCTGGGCTAAGAGTTTAAGGTTGTGGGATTAGGGAGTATCCGCCGAGCAAGGGTCATGCGGAGTAGCAGCACATTGCTCCTACAGGTTCCCACCTAATCAGGAGCTACATCCTTTGCGGCCTTTGCAAAACAAAATGGGTTTAGGGAACAAAATTGGCTTAAAAATCCCCCTTGACCCTATGGGATAATGGAAAATGAAATGGAAACTACTATAATGGGTTATATAGGGTATATATTGGGTTTATATTGAGGTAATGTTGGGATAAGTGCCATCGCCCATTGTTGCTGGATGACAATTGTGGGATGTCGAGGGATCAGGACGGAGGATGTGGGGGATCAGGATTCTAGGTTTATGGTCACGTTGGCACAAGGATAGAGCAAGATACTGCCGAGGTTAAGGGGATTAGCTTTCTTGCCTTTGGTTAGATGGGGCAGGAAGCAATGGAAAATAAGATGGAAACGATTATAACGGGTTCTATAAGGGCTGCTACAAGAATTCATTCCTAATTCCTGAGCCCATAATGGACTACCATAAGGATCCGTTCCTTCCTAGCTAGCCAAAGGTAAGATTGTGGCTCTTATATTTAGGGGTACCCAGACGGGACCCTTGCCTTGGAAACTACCCAAATATCCCTAAACCCTAAACCCCAAAATATCCCCACTTGGCAGATCTTGTGCAGGGTGTTGGTGGCATGGCATTTGGCGATGCGAATGACGACCTTGTCATCACGCCGCTAGAGTTTGATTTTGATTGAGAAGGGAATTATGGGGCATAGGCCAATGCAGATTCACTCGCCCGAAGAAATGCGCGCTGTCCTTGACTGCCAAATCCTTGTACACTATTGCCATGCAGATCGTTTCGGGCCCTGTTGTGATGAGCTGATTGCTGTTGTCCGTGTCAAGTCACTTAAGGCCTCTAGCAATGGCTTTCATACAAAAGTGCACCATTGCCTGAATCTGAACAGTCGCTCGTCTATCTGCAGGCCTTGCAAGCCCATCGCGAACGCCAGCCAGGTGGACCCCAAAACGGTTGCGACACTTGGTGGGTTGAGGGGGCGAAGGTCGTACTTCCAAGGCTGGGGTATTCGTCGGATTGAATGGAGCAATTCTGAGCTCACACTTGGCTTCTGAACAGCACGCAGGGACAGGACAGTCGAAGGTGAGTTTTCTTAAAGTAAGGAGCGCTTGTGCACCAACCCAGACCCGTGATGAATAAACCCCCTCCCCTTACTAGTGATTATAATGGGGATCCGAATATTAAGGCTTGTAAAAGGAGAGGGTAGTAAAGGCGCCTGAAAGCAGCAAACCCCAGACAAGGCAACAATCCAAACCTCGACCCCCTAAACAGTTTGTCTCGAGTCCCCCTAAGGTAGATAGAAGATGGACTTGCCCAATATCATAATGAGATCCCCATATACCCCATATTCTATCTACTATCATAATAAGATCCCCATATACCCAAATTTCTATCTACTATACCCTAAACCCTAGATAGTCGTTTCCATTTTCCTTTCCATTATCCCGAAGGAGGCCCTATAACCCCAATGTGCCCAGGAAGCCGTTATATCCCAAGAAGTTCACCATCAGACGAAAGGATGGCAAGCAGGGTGGCTACTCAGACACCCTCATAGGCTCGCTGCGGGACCATCCCTAAGCCCTCAGCCCCTAAAACCTAAATCCCTAAGCCCTAAACCCCTCAGCCCTAAACCCTAAGCCCTAAACCCCTAAGCCCAAAACCCTAAACCTCTAAACCTCAAATCCCTAAACCCCTACGCCCTAAACCTCTAAACCCTAAGCCCCATGGGTGTGTAGTCGGCCATAAGTAGACGTAATGTAGCAAGCGCTGCAGTCTATGCCTACGGCGTCGTGCCAAGCATTCCTCCTAAGCTTGGCGAACTCCGCTCTTGCATTTCATGTCGTGCAGTGTAGCCTGTGGGTTTAGGGGTTTAGGGTTTACCTCAAGCGCTTCAGAAAAGACAGGCTGGAAAACTGACCCCTTTTGCTTCGGATTCTTCCCGCAGAATGACTCCACGACTCTTGGGCCTCGATTAGGACAGTAGCGAATCAAGTGGAAGATGAAAAGGGAATCGTGGTTATCTAGGGGCCTACAGTTTGGAATAGGGCTTTAGGGGGCCCATTGCAGAATAATTTTGTAATGACTACAACCGAAACATGCTACTTGTTTGAAGTTGGATCCCCTCATTGCAGCACAAACCCTGGTTCTGATGAGGGCGGATTTTTTTCATCTGCTGTCAAGTTGTGAGGGGCCGTGTTTACCCTAAGGGCCTGGCTGCAGCGGGAAATTACCACACAAGGGATTATCATCTAGCCGTAGCCGTTCAAAAAGACCTTGTGTTTGCCTAGGCTACCTGAGATAAGGCCAAGGTCCGCGATTGTAGGCTTCACGCACTGGTGTTTAACTCAGCCAGGAACAGTGTCCGCCATACGAATTCCCAAGCAACCAATCCCCATGACGCCCACAACGCTCAGGTCTATGTTGCTTACACAAGCTGAGAATGGAATCCATGTCATATTGTCCGCCTTTAGAAAAATCTGGCTTTGGGTATATGAAAATGGGATCCAAGATACCCGATATTCTATCTACTTAAGGGGGACTATGAGTCCAGACATGTTCAACAAGGGGACAGCGAAGCGTTTCTCAAACATCTGCTACTCGGCCGTGGCCTCCAGCTGGAAATTGCGTTCATCTAAGGTTACAAGTATGGCCCCATATAGAGAATATAGTAGGTATATAGGGATCCAAGAATTCAGGGGCTATACTAGGAGCCCACAGTTCGCCCTAAACCCTAAACATAGTAGGAGCCTACGGTTTCAACCTAAGAGTTCCACTGGCCATGCCATGAGTCATGCACCCCACTCCCCTCTGGGCGATCATCCTGTGATGGGCCCCTTGTCTGCTCCAAACGGCAGGGTCCTTATCTCATGTGACTAGTATTTTATTTGGGGATACTATGGTACCCAATATAGAGTAAGATTATATCCGCCTTTTGGGTATAGTATTTTATGTAAGGAATATAATCTTACTAGGTTCAAGCACCCAAAAAAACACTACTCATGTTCTCTCGCAGATCCCCTTCATTTGTTGCATGAACAGAGACCTGAGGAAGCCAATGTGCTACAGAAGCGAGGACACAAATTTGCATCACGGTCTGTAAGGTAAATCCCTCAACACAGAAAGATTGCCTTCGGTCAGGCGGGAATGAGGAATGGAAAAGAAAATGCAAATTACTACAATGGGTTACATAGAGGGATTACTATAAGGATCCATTCCTTCATTCCTAGCTAACCAAAGGTCAGAAAAGCCATGCAGCCCTTTAAAGGAATCCCTTCTAGAGGCTCTGTGAATATCGGACCCTCGGGATCTATCCTTTCTGAACTTTGGTGTGCAAACGCTATTTTGCCGAGGTGCATCTTTGAGGGCATTGCTGTTAACTCATGGGTTTCAGACTTAGACTGAGCTTGGGATTTCGGTCACAGCAGGGGTGGGAGCCCAGAGCTTGGTCTCAGTGCATATGAGCCATTGTCTAAACTCCTCAAAGGGGGTTATGAAGGGGATTACATAGGGGAACATTATAGGGCTTATTAAGGGGGATACTAGGAGTTTAGATAGTGGCTCATATTGATATGCGTGTCTTAAGGACAAAGTGCAGCCTGACATGTAGTGCAAAAACTGTGCTCAAGTAGAGCACGGTTTACGTGAAGGCATTTGTCCATGTTCATGTCCTAGTTCTAGACCAAAGGACCCCAATCTCCCCAATCTGTTATACCCTGACATCCTGCAACCATCCCTCAGCCCGGTAATCCCCCAAAATCCCCAGCCCGCCCGCCCTGAACAGTAGATGCCATGAGAGACCCTGCAGGACGCTTTTGTCAAGTACTATGACATTGACTCTGGGCTACAAGGACTACTACTTCCACCACCATCACCGCCAGTTACTAGCACTATTAGTTTGACAGCCACAATGACAGCCATTACGCCGCCAGCACCACCACCATTGTGTCTTGCTGGTGGTGGAAGTAGTAGCAGTGCTGCTGCTGCTGCTTCTTCTGCTTCTGCCGCTGCGGCTGCTGCTGCTGCTATTATCTTCTGCTGGGTTGTGCAAGTACCCGGCTCCTCTAGTCACTATCATGCCTTCCACTTAAGTCAGGCTTTCAACCCCAAGCATCGTCGCGTTTACGGCAAGGTAAACTCTACTGCAAGAAGTTGCGATTGTTGTCTCCCACTACCCACATTCTGAACAAGTTTCTGGATAAGAGGCAGTGGCATTATTTAGCTTCTCCACCTACACAGGCCTGAATTCAGACGCGCACGGATCCTTTCTTGTTGCGCAAGCACTTCTCAAGATAAGGGTCCGCCATTCCTATTCCCATGACAGCGTCGGATCGTGAAGTTGGACGCAAACTGCAATTCATATACCCAATACCCCAGTACCTAATTATTGGATACTTGGACCCTTAAGGTTAGGGTTTAGGTAGTGCTAGAGCGGCTTCGAAGGACTACAGGCTCGATGAACAACTCATAGAATTCTTCGGTGGAAAACAGCCAGCTAACAATGGTCCCCTAAGAGGGGCACAACAAGGCAGCCAGCAAAAAGGCAAACAAAAAGAGAAACATGAAGCCTCGACCCTAAAATGAGCATGGCATGTACGCTGAGGAGCGGGAAGCACAACGTGCAGAGTATACCATCCACAACGGAGGGCTGCACTTGCCTCAGCGCTAGGATGTGCGATTGGAGGTCTAGGGCTTTGGCTTAGCGCTGGAGCCGAAGTTTGGTATTCCGGGGTTTTGCCTGCTCAGTGCTTCTTGCACGTTGGGTCAAACGTCATCCTTAGCAAGCGGCACATGAGTCGAGTCCGCAGCTCCTGTGGATAGTTTCTAGACTGGAGGCTATGTGCCGAATAGTCTAAACTCCTTAAAGGGGGGAATACAATTATACAGGGGTCTAAACTCCTTTAAAGGGGGGGATTATAGAGGGTATGATGTGGAGGAGTATTATAGGGCTTACTAAGAGGGATACTAAGGAGCTTAGACTACAGCTTCTGCATCCTCATCCTCAGGGTTTCTGCAGACTTGACCCTAGGCTCATGTAGGCCCATGTGAGCTATAGTCTAAATTCCTAAAAGGGATGATATAGGGGATTATATAATATGGGACTACTGTAGGGGTTATTATTAATATTAGGAGTCCCTAAACCCTAAACCCTAAACCGCTTATGATTAATATTAGGAGTTTAGACAAGGACCCATGTTAGCTGCCACCTCATTGGCAAGATAGTTGCAGCCTAAATGCCTGGTACTCCAGGCTTGGGATTATATTGGGGTTATATGGGGGTGATATGGGGATAATGGAAAAGAAAATGGAAAGTGCTATAGTATACAGGGATTATATAGGGGTTATAATATGGGGAAGAAAGGGTATATATGGTGCAGTGCTGGCCA